GAGAAAAAGAGGCTTTAAGAGGGCCCACTAACTAAAAGCAGCTTTCATCATGGGCCCTACTTGACAGCACCACTATTAAACGCCCAAGGAGCCCGGACAAGTGGGGCCCATGAATGTGACGCCTAACACGCCCTATCGCCTATCACTCCATCATCACCGTACACTCCACGAGATTTTTTCTGTTTATTTTATTTTTGGTTTTGTCAATTTTTTTTATAAAGAAATTTGCTCTAAAATAAATTATCACAACTTCACAAGAATATATATATATATATATATATATATATATATATATATATATATATATATATATATATATATATATATATATATATAATTGTAGCTGAGCTAAGTTAAGCTTGAATTGTCAAACCTCAAAGTTCAATTCTATCCAAAAAAAAAAAAGTTTGAAACTAGAGCTCAATTAAACTTTAAAATTTTGACTTCAAACTCATCTTGAATATGTTTAATAGTTTTTTATTTTAAATTATTTACACAAAAATTATAATAATAAATATTTTACAGTCATATATCATAACAAAATAATATTACATCTTGATTATACCATTTTACAACATAAACATATAAATATTCAAATGCATTAATTAAATATGCTATATTATATAAAAATATGTATATATAAAAAAAAAACACAATTAAGCTCACGAACTGCTTAAGTCAAGTATTAAAAGGTTCAAATTATTACTAAAACTGTTTACCTTAAATTCTACTCTTAACAACTGAACCGAATTTGAACATTAATCAAATTCAACTTTAGTAACTCCCCAATAGTTCAATTAATCTATACCTCTAGTTTCAAAAGTATCAAATATGTTAGGGTGTATTTATATAATTATATCATATATAATTTGACACAAATAATGATCAATATAATAGATATTCCTTGTATTTGTATAGCCTATATTGAAAATAAAACAGAAATATACCATAAAGTAGAAAAAAAATATTGTGATATATCGACACTTATGTGACATTTTTTGAGAGAATGTTACAGGACCGAACTCTGATATTGAGATATTAATTCTTTGGACTAACACTGATTCTTTGAATAATACTCCGTAACTGATAAAGAAAGTATATCGAACAGATACTAAAAAAGTCGATAGTAAAAAGAAGAAGAAAAAAAAAAAAAATGGCGCGTGACATGAGTGCAGTGGGGGAGGGGTGAGTGACACACAGGGGTTGGTGGAAAGTGGAGCCCACAATCACATATCATGTCAAAAGTTGGAATCAACGTAGAGAATGGGGTGCAAATGACATGACAGGGTGGACCCCTTCATTAAACCCTTTCACCCACCCCATTTACTTACTTATCTCCATTGATAAGCGGACCGATTTTAGTCGAAAAAAAAAAAACAATTTTTATTTTACTATTCGTAATTTGTAATTGTTTTTATTATTTCCATAATTTTATATTAAATTTTGTGGTGATTAAATTAAATAGGCACTCGAATTTAGAAAATAAAAATGCAATTAAACACTATGATGATGTGATTATTTCGATGGGTTATCATATTGACATTGGCATAATAATAATAATAGTAATAGTAATAATAATGGTTGAAAAAATCGCTAGGCGCTCATCGGGCGCCTAGGCGTGAATTAATCGGCGCCTAGGCTCCCGTAATTTTAAATTTAAATTTTTTTTTAAATTTGATAATTATAAACTATTTAATATTTTAATATTTAGTACTAAAATATTAAATATTAACAAAAAACATAGAGTTTGAACAATTTAGTATTATTTCGCTCAAAATGATACATCGTTTTGAACGAAATAACCCATTTTAAAAAGAAATAAACAATATATAATCAGTCGACTAGGCGACCTAGTTGGTGCCTAGGAAGCCTAGCCGGTCAACCGCCTAGATCACCGATCATGGTGATACGCTAGGCAGTCGGCCAGTGCCTAGCGTCTATGCGGGAATTAATCGGTGTCTAGACGGGATTTAAGGTAGTCATGGCAATGGTAGGGGATGGTTAGTAAACAACTATTAGCTGATAGTTGTTAGTCGATTGTGTTAGTGGGTTTGACTAATTTATAGCATTAACATCCACTGAGACTCAATCTCATGACCTCCCACATGAAAGAGGTCACTACATACCATCTGAACACAAAATGCTTGACAGTGATCAAATAAATTAAAATTAATTGATAAACTAAGTATATTACTAAACATGACTCTAGTCAAATCAGTGTCTTCAAACAAATTGGCTCGTCTTCGTAAACAAAAGATGAAGACGTTCCTTCTAGGTCCCAACGGATTTGTCTCCAGATGGAGATGTTTGAACCAAAAACCATTCAAATAAAACTTTTTTTTTTTTTTGTTACGATTAAGAGTTTGCATCGCCCCACATGACATGTAGCAAGATGTTAACGTGCTATAAGCAATCTAAAATTGGTTATTTGTAACGCTTTTATATGTTCAAGTACTTATTTACAACTTTTTTCAATAAAAGTGTAATTGTATTTTTTTTTTCAATAAAAGATTTAATCCATGTCCCATTATATAAAACGAACATTTGTCGCGGTGCCCAACAAGAGCGATTGATCATTCTTTTATGGAGTTTCTCCCTTCTTGATAAAAACAATTTATGTTTATAAAGTAAATTTGAAATATCAATCCTTTTTTACTAAGCTTCTTTGATACTAGACAAACAAAAACAACACTACAATATTAGTTGAAATTGTTGTTTTTGGCGATCACCCTTAGCGCTCTCAGTGTGTACATGCTGATAGTGCGCTTAACACGTACAAGATGCACTTGATTATTTTTTATTAGTTAAATGGACCCACATTAGAAGACAAAAATCAACTCCTCATATATTTCACCTAAGCAAAAATTAATTTAAAATCTTTCAATAATCTTTTACATAAGTAATCTTATCTTACCTGAACCAAAAGTCCCTTAATTATCATTAACTTTTACAATTTTTACATGATAAAAGACTCTTGATAGATTACAAGTTCAACCTTCTAATTTTAGCATTAATAAATTTCCTATTTAACTATGAAAAGAATTCAATAATTATGATATAATTCAAATATTAAAAAGTCATTTTCTTCTTAAAATTTAATTAAATTAGTAAGGACAGATTAATTTTAGCCATTGCCTTTTTTTGTGAAAGGCGAATAGGAAGTAGAAGGCGAGTCACGCGAGTAGCAGTGCAGTTCGTAGGAGAAAGCAAGGGGGATAAAAGGGGTGGGGGACCCACATACGAAAATAACGCCTCTTTTCTAGGGGTGGGGTCCCATTTTAACTCAGTCTGTCCTCTGTGGACTGTGGAGTCGTCATCCATCTTTGACTCTTTTGCCATCCCCCTTTTACACTATCCCTTTCACCCTCCCCCCTCCCATATTTTCCCAATATATTTTACTCACTATTTTTATTTTTATTTTTTTACTCCATCGTCCCATTATCCAATTTTATGTGTTTGATTTGATTAACAAAATTATATTGAGATTTAAAAAAAAAAATTGGGAAAATGACACTTTTTTCGCCTGAGTTATATACTTATAGCACTTTTTTCCCCTCAATTATTTAGGTAAGCACATTAGCCCCTTCAATTATTCTAAAAGTGGTTGTTTTTCCCCCTAATATATTAAATTGACATTTATACCCTTAAAATAAACATTTTATTTATTTTACTTCTCCAACAAATTATTGTGTATACGTAAAGATGACTACGATTCGGTTCGAACTGAATCGGGCACTATAACAATCGAATTAAAAGTTTCCGGTTATGATTCAGATCTAGAACCCAATATTTGGATTTCAATTTATTAAAATTATGAATAAAAAAATTGGATCCTAAACCGTAAACTGGCGATTTCGGACCCGATTCGCGATTTTGAACCGTTTTTATTTTAAAAACAGTCTAAATTCAGCAATAAATGTATTTTATTTTTTCAGTTCGGAACATGAACCGTCCGTTCCGGGATTTTAATAAACTCTAAATATCGAGTTTCGATTCTAAATTGTAATTGGAATATTTTGGTTTGGTTGCTATAGTGTTTATTTGGTTTGAACCAAATTATGGTCATAATTTGTTGGAGAAGAAAAATAAATAAAATATTTATTTTAAGGGTAAATATGTCCATTTAATATTTTAGGGGGAAAAACAGCCATTTGAATAAAGTGCTATAAGTATATAACTCAGGGGAAAAAAGTGCCATTTTCCCAAAAATATTTATATTGAAGTTATTTTGTATTTAATTTTGTATAATGTTAAATTTTTAATATATAAAATGTATATATTTATAAAAAAAAAAAGTATTAAATATATTATTAAACATAAAAAATAATTTAAAAATTATTGAAAAGTAAACAAAGAAAAAAATTAATTTGACCAATGAATAATAAACAGAACAGATAAAATGAAGTCGAGGGAGTGATTTGTATTGCAGTGATATGTTTTACTATCATAAAGACATAATTCATTCTTTTTATTTAGAATTATATATACATTTTTTTAAAAAAAGTGTGATGCAATACATTTCATGAGCAATGCTACATTTCTTATAAAAATTACTGCGTAATATTTTCTTATTTGATGAGTCATTGTTTTTATTGTATACTATTTTATATTTGTTTATTATATAAAACTTTTATTATTTAATGGTAAGATTTACCAATTGACTGATAGTTCATGAAAATAAGGAAAAGCGTCTTTTTTTTTTCATGTTTTATATTTTTTACTCCCAATTCAAACTACCTAGCAAATTAGCAATAACTATTTTGCAAAATAAACAAGTAAAAACAAATTATATCAAGTGTAAGCCTAATTATTTGTGCCACCTCTGGAGTTTAGCATGGGGAGTAAACACTTCTGTTCTCAGTAGAATTTTCTTTTCTTCATTTCTCCTAGTAAAATCATAACACATAGCTAAACATATTTTGAAATATAATAAAGATAAAAGTCATCAAACATATTTTTTCTAAACTATATTTTGAAAAGTAAGGTATGAAAACCATCAATTAAAGTACTTGTACAACATCATAATATGTATTACATATTATATTTTCTTATTGATTGGACAAAAAGAATATCTTTCTTATTGTAATTAATTACACAATTCAGTTAAATTTAGCTAAACCGTTCTTCTAGTTGTATGTATACATGCACACAGTACATATGCATATATATATATATATATATATATATATATAGAGAGAGAGAGAGAGATGGTTATACATCATCTTCAAAGTTGGGGACCATTCTTAGGTGAGGAAATTAGATATGAATGGAAGGAGCTTTTATGAGAAAGCTGACAGGAGCAACCACCATTGACTAGCCGCATACAAACACACAACGCCAATGGCTAAAAGTCCAAAAACCTTCGCACTGCATCCATGCAGCCAGGGCTTACATAACAATACAACAAGGATACATACATACATTGATTTTGGTTGGAATTGGACCATTCAACCATGCATCTATAAAACCCTTTTTTGCTGCTTCAACTCAACATTTCAAGCACACCCTTTTTTCTTGTTTCCTTCCTCAACACAATCTTTGGTGGGTTGTGGATTGAAAACGATATTCCGCCCCCCACACCCTTTCTTCTCCAATATACGTTGAACGATGTCCCAGTCTCCCAGACAGCTAAAGACCTTGTAGTTCAGTGGTATAAGTGTGAGACTCTGTATAACTGGTATAAGAAATTTGGTGTTCAATTCCGTTTGTACGTAACAAAAGCAATGGTCCATACCTGCTAAAACTTGATCAGTTAGACAAAAGAGAAGACAAAAGTGTTGTACTACCAAGCATTTCAGTGCACAAAGCTCCTGCTTATCTGCAATGGCAATAATTGTGTGATATCTCAGGCCGGAGGCGCAATCAACACCCTAAACATCAATGTTGACAACACAAGACAAAGGATAAATTCAGCACCTAGATACAGGATAGACACAATTACTCTAAAGGGACTATAGAAAAGACTTGATTAGTCGTGGGCCAGTTAGCTACTGATATGTATATATAATAACTTCTTCCATTTGATTTCGGCCATTTAATCAAAATGACGTTGACAAGTAGGTAACACCGAGTAGCCCCCATGCATACATTTCAAGACAACTACCCGCGTTTACATTTTTCATCATTGATTTTTCATAGATGATGCTGATAAAACAGGACAGATGGCCCTACACCAATATGAATGGTAAGACTCAGGACTAGTTGTAATGTAGTGACTGTTTCTTGTGTTGAAATTCCCTATTGTGGAGCTCTGGGCTATAGACAAAATGGGACCATCATGAAAACAGGACCTTCATAGGCATGGGAATAAAGTTATAGTACAACAAAGTAACCTGTTTCTTGAGGCAACTGAGAAGTACCCATTTAACCGATCTCAGTGCAGCTCTGCTACTGCGCCATGAACTGGCGGTACAATAGCATCTTGTGACCTTGTGGGAAGTGGTATGTACGCCTTTACAACAGCATCTAATCTTTAGACTCAGCAAGATCATTCTCACCTCCTGCAACAGCTTTAGAGTTCGCCGATGTTTTATGATGATGGAAAAAAAATACTTTCCTGCATAAAATCATATACAGACTAACATCTAAGTAGATGAAAAGAAGACACGAGTGGAAGTTAACATCATGGACCAATGGAAGTAGTCGCATAGTTATCACATTGAAGGATTAGTGATAAGTGTTGACACATACCTCGTAATAAACATCCAGGGAAAGCTCTATTCATATGACAGTTGCTGCAAAGAGATCTAACACCACAAAAGCCATATAACTGAATTCCCGGCTCTTGAATGTTCCAACTTGATTTCATTTTTTACCCGACAGCCAAACACATCTGTCTTTGACTGTCATCATAGGTTTCTTTATTTATGCTTTTAAAAGTATTAGTGACAACAATCAATCTCAACTGTTAAAGAAATTAGACAGTGTAATACAACATTTTGTGGATTCATTTTTACACTCAATTTAGTACAGTCAAAGCTGAATATTATGAAAATAATAATTAGGTAGAGGGCTATGCATTCCCTAATACAAATCCCCAGTATGAAATACACTTAAAATCAGGCATAAACTATACATTGGCGGACCAGCAAAAGTTGATTTCAGAAGGGTAGATATGCATCTAGTATTAATCAATTCAGTAAAAAAATTGCACCGGGGAATAATGAATTCGAACTAAGATACTTGACAAAGCATACTAAGACCTCCAGAAGTCCATAAAAAATATAGAGCCAAGACTTCAAATGGTAATCAAAAAGAGCTCAACCAAATAACTTTAATCCAGCATTCTGATAACACATAAATCTCAGTTATGTATAATCACCTTACAAAATCATAGTGCTACTGAATGACCAGAGATACCCTTTGCTCACCAACTTCAATAGTAAGAGTTGTGGCCAAACATCAAAAGGAAGTATTCTGAACTTAACACAAGCTTCACTCTCCAGGCGTGGTGCTAGGTGCTATTTTGACCACTGGTGACTGGACTGCCGTAGGAAGGGGAACAGGGAGGTGGCAGAATTAGAACATCTTGCAATCTTTCTAAGCACATTTTTATACATTATTAAGATGCAGAAATTCATATCAGAGTTCTAAACAATTTTTAATTTTCAGTGTAGGGGTGGTGAGGGTGGAGTTTCAGTTCTTCTAAAGGGTAAATATAGCTGAAAATTGTCCCTAAAAAGCCTAGAACAGGTGGAAAGTGAAGCAAAAGGCAATCTAACAGTAAAAGCTGGAATGATAAATGTTATTCTTCTGTGAACAAGTAACCGTTGTTGGCCTGTTCCTAAATAAATCACTGTAGGAGTTCCTCTGCAAAAAAACTGTCCAACCTGTTACCTGTGCTCAATTTACAGCACTTGTCAGTCTCTCCATTGCAACTATGGGTGAAGGAGAAACACTCTTCTTTCCTTGAATTTGCAGCCAATCTTTTGTTTCAAGTCATGCAGTATTTTTTTTTTTCTAGTTTGTTGTAGAATATTAAGCATTACCATCTGTTGCCCTGTTGGGAGGTCCATTGGGCCAAGCTCAGTGAGCCGGCCCAATGGTCATCATGGTATTGCAGCAGGCAGGCCAAACAACCAGCATAGCAAGGCCAAGGGTCATGGTGACTCCTCAAACACACTTACCTAATCTGAGAGATATGTTGGGCTAAGTGGCTAACTACATTAACCCAGCACCACTATTAATATGTAATATTAATCATGAATCTAAGTGTTGTGCACTGCCATCATGAATCAACAATCAAAACATAATAAGAGCTCAACAAAGGAACAGTGAACTGAGCAATATGATGATTGCTTTGATTCAAAAATCCAGCAATAGGTTTTCCCTTCGACAGAGTTAAAGTGTTATAGTTAATTTGTTATTGCATGTTCTTGTGTAGAAGATATGATAATGCTGGTTTAGGACATTGGTTTCCATATCCACGTATATCTATGTATACAATGCTTCTTGATATTCTCTTCCCTTGAATAAAAAAAGATCAAACTGAAAATTAATACGGAGTACATATAAATGAATGTCTCAATCGTTCAAGTACACATGTAATTCCACAAGTCAGATTCTATGAAACTAAAGCTATGCTTGAATAGTCATGCAATGAGGCACCATTTGGTATAATAGTAAGTCTACTAGTTTAGGCAAGTTACTAACCGTGTTAAGATTATGCAACTTAGCATTTTAATTAATTGAGATTTCAGAAAAATTATCACATGGAACAAGATCAAAAGAGTAAGAAGGCATTACCCTTCTTTAAATCTGTTGTCCAGCATGTGAACTGAAAAGCTCCATGATCTCCTTCACTTCCAAGCCACCTAAATAATGAACCTTTCAGTATTCCACTTACTTAACATTAATTCCCCATTTTGTTTAAACTAACCCATCTATCAACCTTTCCCAAAGCATTGGATAGAACACATACGCCCCCTGACTATCTGGATTTAATTTGAAGAGCTCATTCAAAAGCTAAATTAGCCATTTTAACATCACAATGCAGTCTGCAAAACTAAGCAAAGGTGCAAAACATAGGATTTGCCTTACATCAATTGCGCAGTGAATGCCACATCTTCTTTATACACTGTTTTCTTGAATACATCCTCAGCATCCTCTATACATCCATGGTTCATGTTCATGTAACCTGTGGTCATTGAAGAAGAGCAAACCCCATTTTTTGAAATGTCAAAGTAAACACTCTTTAAAAAATAACAAGCTCAGTGTATAACATTCAACAAGTGAGCAGAAAATTGGTACAAGTACACTACAAGACAGGAATATGAACTACAATCCCCAATAGAAGGGTTTCTTTACAGGTGTAAGAATGTGAGTTCTGCAAAGCTGCTCCGGTGTATTAGTCTTCTTCAGTTGATGTCCTGGAAGGCAAACCCTTGATTACATGCCGACATTGAAACCAGATAATATCATCAGATGCAGAGTCCGTGAAACTGATTGCATTCTCAGCTTGATTATCATCATGAGAAGCAGTTTTCCCTCTGCACCTGAATTGCAGTTTGATGGGGGCAACCTTCTTGCTAAATCTAAAGTCACGCTTGGGAAGAAAATGCAGAGGCAAACTGAGTGAAGAGGGGGCCCTGACCAGCAGATAGAGCTTTGTGGGACCAGGATACGAACTGGAACCAGCACCCCTTGATACTAGTTCCCTTATGGCCTTTTTGCAGAGAGTTTCCACCACTCTCGTCCTGGTATAATCCACTGAAGAAACCCTAGCTCTGCGCGGAAAATGCAGCTCATAGATATGCAGTGGGCGAAGAGGGCTAGGTCCGAGAACTAGAAGCACACTCTCAATACACGGAATCTCGGTGATAATCAGTTGAAGAGCGGTTTTCATACTTGAAACCATGTTCATTAGCTTTTCTAGCCTTTTTATGCCCATCCTCACCTCTCTCTTTCTAGCGGCGTGCTTTCTCCTTAGCGGCCCCCTGGTTTCCTCTTGAGCAAGAGCCGTCTCCAAATCCTTAAATTCGTCCTGCAATTCATCAAATTCGAAAGTGAGATCCTGCAACACAGAAGGGATTTGCTGGTGCATGAAGAGGACGAAGCCGACAATGTCGGCGACGACATGGAAAATGAAGGAGCCGTCAAGGGAGGCTGAGGCAGCTTCAATAGTCGTGAGCTCCATATTTGAAATCCCTCCGCCTCCTAACGCCGCAATCGAACGCTCTCCTCGCATCGTTACCCTTCGAGTCTTAGCATACCAATTAACCAGCGCAAAACTAGCACATAATCACCCTCTGCACCGCAATCCAAAATCCGGGCACGATCTATGAACCTAAACTAGCACACACCCTACTGAGTACTGAGTAGTAGACCCCTGAACCTGAAGAGTGAAAATCATGGCAAATTATATTATGCACCGCGGTGCATAATCGATTATGCACCGCGCGTCTTCTTTTTTTTTTAAATGAAAATAAACAGTGTTAGTTTCCGCCTTTTCGCACCCTTTTGCAAAAAGTAACTCTGTTATTCAGTGTCATTTTGTGTACACTGCAGTTTCAGTTCAACACAACTACAGTTTCATTTCGATATAACTATAGTTTCATTTGATATTTATAGACTCAAATATGTGAAAATGTTATTTAATTTTATTTTATATACACTATAGTTTCATTAAAACACAGCTACATGATTATTTTGATATAATTACAGCTTCATTGTACAATATACACTCAAATATGTGAAATGTTATTCAGTTTCATTTTATATACACTACAGTTTCATTTCACTATAACTACAGTATCATTTTGATATAACTGCAGGTCGGTTTAGATATATTATAGTGTCAGTTGGTGTTTAATACACCAAACAAGCGGACTCCGTTAACTCTAATGACGGGCCGTTTCTTCACTTAAAGAAACGGCGCCGTTTTTTACCGCGGTGCACATGCACCACGGTCTATAATATAACGACTGGAAAATCATAAAACCATTCACCGTAGAATCTCATTTTCCTAAACAAATACAAAGACCAATGGGCATACTACCTGAAATCATAAAGGTATAGGCCCAAAAAGTTAGTTGAGACTATTCGTCGAACACCTGGTGACACATATATTGGGCTCGATTGCTTGAACCCAAGTTTCAGTTTTCTGGAGCACAGTACAATCTACAATGCTAAGCGCACCCTGGTTTAGCTCTTCTGTAACAATCGTTATGCTGTGCATCCGTATGCATCATGCATGGTGCATACGGATGCCAAAATGACGTCGTTTTATTAAAAAACGCGCGTTTCTCCTTTAAAAAAAATCAGGTTTGATTCCCAGCAACAACATTATATTGTTCATTTATTTTGGAATTTTAGTTCATAGATTATGGAATTATAGTTCATTGATTATGGAATTATAATTCATCGATTATGGAATTGTAGTTCATCGATTCTGAAATTTTAGTTTATAGATTATGGAATTTTAGTTCATTCATTCTGGAATTTTTAGTTCATAGATTAGATTATGGAATTATAGTTCATCGATTATGGAATTTTAGTTCATATGTTGTTGTTGGGAATCGAATCTGATTTTTTTTTAAGGGGAGACGCGCGTTTTATTAAAACGACGTCGTTTTTGCATCCGTATGCACCATGCATGGTGCATACGGATGCACAACATAATTTGCCCTTCTGCAATGGGCAAATTATTTTGTGGACCGAATCTAAAAATACACAATTATATGTTGAATGTTCACAATGTACATACTGAATGTTCACAATTTACATATTAAATGTTAACAATTTTATATATTAAATGTTCACAATTTACATATTAAATGTTCACAATTTGAATTGTGAACATTCAATATATAAATTGTTTATTTTGACCTGAGTCCACCTTATAAGGTAAATTCAGATCTATGGCATAACTGTGGTCTGCAATGACTCTTGGCCTAGTCATATCCGGAGCGTTATGTTGTGCATACGGATGCAAAAACGATGTCGTTTTGACATCTAACTATATATATATATATATATATATATATATATATATATATATATATATATATATATATATATATTCAGAATTATATAACTACACATCCATAATTTCATCACATCCATAATTTCATAACTATACATCCAGAATTACATAACTACATATCCAAATTTCTAACTATAAATCCAGAATTGTATAACTACACATCCATAACTTCATAACTATACACCCAGAATTGCATAACTACACATCCATAACTTCATAACTATAAATCCAGAATTGCATAACTACACATCCATAACTTTATAACTACACATCCAGAATTGCATAACTATACATTCAGAATTGCATAACTATACATCCAGAATTTTATAACTAAAAATTCAAAATGAATAAACTAAAAAATAAATAACATAATGTTGTTTCTAGGAATCAAAACTGATTTTTTTTTTTTAAATAGGACACGCATTTTAATACAAAACGATGTCGTTTTTGCATCCGTATGCACCATGCACGGTGCATACGGATGCACAGCATAATTTGCAGTCATATCCCCTATCCTCTCTCTTTCAAAGTGTAACAATAAGCCCAACAGCTTTTATCTGGCAATGTATATCATAAATCAGATCAAGTTCATATAGCATTATGGACTATGAATTGAAACAATGAGATACAAAATTTATACTTGTAAGGTACAAAATTTTATAACACAAAATACAAAAAAAAAAAAAAAAAAAAAATTACAAAGATACATAGCATAATATTATGGATCCAGCTGAACTGAAAAATATAAATATTTGAGAGAAAAATATAAATTTATAATTGATTAACTGAAATCTGTTGTAAATAAATATATATGGACATTACTATAGGTGTTATACTATGATAATACATCTTCATTATTTATAGTATTGTAGTTATACTAGAACTATGTATATCTTATATATATATATATACTAGTTTTTTTACGCACATTGCGCGATTGGGATAATGCCCAATGTTTTTCTTAAATAAGTATTTTAAAATATATCAAGGCAAGATTATATTAGAATTGTTCATACATAGATAATTGAATGTTAAATTTGCCTATTTAATTAAATTGATAATTCTAAGTTTACAAATGTAAGATAATATAGTCAAGATTGATTATAATTGTCAATAAAATAATTGTATGAGTATGGTTAAAACCAAATACGGGACATAAGGGAGAGCAAATAAAAATTAAAGAGTAAAATATTAAATATATACTAATATTGTTTGAGGAGATTCCGGCACTAAGATTTGTGGTTAGAGTTCTATTAAGACTTTAATATTAGAATTAGATTAATGTTGTAGTTATAATTCTATATTGGACTTTAATATTAGAATTAGACTAACAGTGAATTAACGGTACTTAATGGTACCAAGTGGCTTGTGGTTCATTGGTATCGAATTGCTTCTTTACGTGGGAGGTCTAGGTTTCGAGCCTCGTTGTATGGGTATCTCCCTTCATTTGTAATAAAATAAAATAAAATAAAATAAAAAAATGGTACTTAAAGGATGGATTATGAAATCCACGGTCATTTTTTATATCCAATGTTTATAATTAAATAAATATTTGAAAGTATATAAATGCAAGATTATATATGAGAAGTTCAACATAAGTAATTTAATGTCTAATTTTTTTTTTTTTAATGTAATGTCTAATTTGTTTACCCAATGTTTATAATTAAATAAATATTTGAAAGTATATAAACGCAAGATTATATATGAGAAGTTCAACATAAGTAATTTAATGTCTAATTTGTTTATTTAAATATGTAATTCATAGTATATGAATACAATGTAATATAGGAGATTCATTATAATTGTTACTAAACTTGTTTTAAATACTAACCAAGTATTTTTGTTGCAAAAGGTTCTAATATATTTAATGAATGCACATATATACAAGATCAATGAATGAATCAACGGTACCAGTCATTTAGGTGTTTTGCTAAGTGTTCATTTAGTTCAACCATTATTGTTGAATAAATTATTATGGATAAAGAAATTCATAATTTAAGGAATTTAGATGTAGTAAAAATTTCTTCCTAATTTCACATTGTGCTCAGATGACATGTAGTGACCTTTTCCATGTGGAAGGTCATGAGATTGAGCCTCAGTGGAGGTGTTGTTGACTCTGTGTGCTTCATTAGGTTGATAAATTATGTTTGAACAGATACTACAATGTAATAGAGTCAATAGCATTCAAAAAGATGTAGTAAAAATTTAAAAATTTAAATTATAATGTAACACAAAGATATTGGACGATTGGTAAATATGATGTAACCAAAAGATCAAAATGCTAAAGAAATTATTTTGGTTATTCAACAGTTTGAAGCAACAATTTGTTCTAAACCACTAAAAATAAAAACATTGCAATTTACAATATTTTCACTTAACGTCTTTGAGAGTGATTTCCTCAAAACACATCTATATATATTTTTTTAAAAAATTTATTATTAAAACAATTATTATTATTATTATTATTATTATTATTATTATTATTATTATTATTATTATTATTATTTTTATTATACCCTTAGTTAATTTTAAATGTTAATTTAAACAGCTAATTTTTTTAAATATCTTTTTACCAACCGTTGATATAATTTACTGGTCAAATTCGCTAATATAATCTGCTAACGCTAACCGCTAACTGCTAATTGTCAAACAAGGACATTGCGAGGTAGTTTCTCACTTCAATTTGTTGTGTGATTTGAATACTTTCTTTGTCAACAAATCCCTCAAGTAGTTAATATATTGCCTTTATTAATTTAAATTTTTAAAGTTTTTTCATGGTATTAATAAATTAAAATACTTGGTAAATAAATATATAGTATTATTTTGTATTATAACTTTGATATTTAATTAAAAATAGTACTCAAAAAAAGATAATAGACAATGTAGTGAATATAATCAATTGATGAATTTGAATGTAAAGAATTTTTACATTGGAGAAAAATAAAGACAATATAACTAATGAAATTATTTCTCCTAATTAATTTATTGATAATGAATAATTTTTTTTAATAAAGATATTGTCGGGATAATGTAGTTAATATAATGAATTGATGAATTTGAATTTTGAATGTAAAGAATTTTTATATTAGAGAAAAATAAAGACAATATAATTAATGAAATTATTTCTCTTATTTAATTTATTGATAATGAATAATTTTTTTTTTTTTTGAATAAAGGCATTGTAGAGACATAATTCTAAATTAAAGAAATGCATATGTATTATTTTTTGTTGTATCTACTAAATTGTCATTTAATTTAATAAGAGTAAAATAGAGTACTAATTATGACAACTTTGATTGGGTGAGGTTCGAACCTAAGACCTTTCTTATTGAAATCAATAAGTTAACGGTGAATTAACAGAAATTAACGAAAAAGTTAATATTTAACGAAAAAGTTAACGGATAATCATATTCATTAAGGATAAATTAGGAAATCATAAGGAAAAATTAAAATCTTATCAATCCAAACCATTAATTTGATTAAAAAATTTAACCGCCATTTTTTCTACCCATTATGGGCCTAACTCTCTTGGGCTCTTATTAGTATATATATATATATATATATATATATATATATATATATATATATATTATATAAAATAAAAGATTCAATGATTCTTTCTGTATTATTATCTCTCTTTACTCTATTGCATTCACGCGCGATAATTCATCCGATTTCACAACCGAATTAATAAAGTTAATAAATAATTTTCATGAGAAGTGGAATTTGATGGCATCAAAACTTAGAGCAGTAGTTTTGGAATATCCCTACATCTTAATCTTAACAATAAGTACATTGAATGCTGCGGCGGCGGAGAGTCGCAACACCGCATCATCAAATTAATTTAATTTAATCATTGAAAGATAACTTTTTTTGGAAGTCATTGAAAGATACTTTTAAAATGTATGACCATAGAATAATAGTATAAAATAATCTAGTCATAATACTAATAATAATAAAGTTCAATTTGCCAACTAGGAAGCTTCGATATTTCCTCTATTTACCAATTGAAAGGAAGGAAAATTTTAAATTTTTATACGTTAATTAGCGGCTAATAGATGAATGTTTTAAATAAATAAATAAAGCAACTGAACTTGGACTAATACTGTTTGTTAGAC